CCGTTATTTTTCTCGGTCTAGCACAGTCTGTAAAATTTGTGTTTTTGTCATGTGAAACCAGGTGTTAACGTTATTTAGCCAGGCCATTTTCGGTCTTCCTGAACGTTTCTTGCCTTCGATAATGTCCTCCAGAGTGTGTGGCAAGTGGCTCCCAGCGATATATGGCTTAGGTATTTGAATTTCCTGCTGTTGATGATTTTGAGCAGGTCCCGGTCCGTGTGCATGTCCTGCAGGATCTGTGCGTTTGTTATCTTGGCCGTCCACGGGATTTTCAGCATATTCTCGGTAAAGCCTTTTTTATAGTGGTAGAGCAGAATTGGCCAGATGTAACATTGCAGTGTGCGTAACTTAAGCATGGTATTCAAGTTTCTGTCAGTGAGGAGTGTTTTCCTTCCCCGATTTTTAAAATTTAGGAAAGTGACCTTAGAATAGCTTAAATTAAACAGGTACAATTTACCCCGTCAATTTAGATTGCTGTAAGATATTATCTTTCAATGTGGAATGAGAACGTCATTATTTTCAGGAGAATTACTGCATGTTGCCAACCTTTCTCAGCCGTCTATAATATTCTGTTCGCTTGGGTCAAGTGCGGTGGTACTGAACGTGAAAGGTCAGCTGAAGGTGACACCTAAAATAATAATATTGGATCAAAAAGACGATCATAATGGTTGTCAATCAGTAGAAAATTTTATTAAGGAAAACGTCCCTAAAAATTTCGACGTAAATAAATTCCAGCCTAGTCCAGTGAATGCCAAGGAAGATGTTGCATTTGTTTTATACTCTTCGGGCACGACTGGATTACCGAAGGGAGTCATGTTGACGCATTATAACTACAACGCGTCTATTTCAATTTTTGGGTAAGTCTAGTCGACATGGCACCGACTTTGATTATTTCCATCATTCTTTGTTTGCAGTGATATTTTTCAATCAAAACCACTTAACACGCCAGGCTTGGCTTTCATGCCCCTATGCCATGCGTACGGCTTATACTTGGTCGCGTGGAAAATAATTTGGGGGGGATTGGTAGTAATAATGAACAAATTCAGCCCCGAAGTTTATCTCAGGTGTTTACAAGATTATAAAATTGAAGACCTTAACATCGTACCATCAATTGGGAATTTTTTGGCAAAAAGTGACTTGGTAGAAAAGTATGACTTATCAAATATCAAGCAAATATTTTGTGGGACGGCACCATTAAGTAAGGATATTGAGCAGATATTAATTAAACGGTGAGTTAAAGGAATTCAAGACTTAGTAAATAAGGGATGTACTAGCTTTAAAGTAAATGGAGTTCAGCAAGGGTATGGAATGACAGAAACGACCGCTGGAGCGATAAGTCCAATATTGAATACAAACGCTATCGGTTCATGTGGTTGCGTTTTGCCAAGCCTCTCGGCAAGAATTGTAGATGTCGATACAGGAAAATCGTTGGGGCCCATGCAACGTGGAGAATTGTGGTGTCGTGGTTCTGTTATAATGAAGGGATATATAAACAATCCAGAAGCAACTAAGGATGCTATAGACACAGATGGATGGCTACATACCGGAGACATTGCGTACTACGATGAAAACCATGCGATATATGTAGTGGACAGACTAAAGGAGATAATGAAGTGTAAAGGGCACCAAGTAAGGATTCAGATATCGTTTGGATGCACATGAAATTGCATTAACATTTTTAGGTTGCTCCCGCAGAGCTGGAAGCTATTTTAATGAACAATGCCAAGATATCTGACGTCGCTGTAATCGGCGTTCCTCACGAGCGAGACGGTGAGGTGCCCTTTGCATTTGTGGTATCCGTCCCTAACCAAACGCTAACAGAAGAAGAAGTGAAGGATTTTCTTGCCGGTAGTACAAGTTACTTTTGAAGGTAATTAAATAAATTGTCTATTTTTGTAGACCTGGCACCTTATAAGCAACTTCGAGGAGGTGTCAAATTTGTGAACCAGATCCCTCGAAACGGCAGTGGAAAAATTCTCCATCGCGTATTAAGAGATCAGTACATTAGAGAGACAATCAAAGCTTAGTGTATAAGAAATTGTTTCAATAAAGATTAACCTATATGTAGAATTGGTACAATTTTTGTGTACACATATACTAGAATCTCCAAACATCAAATACATAATATTTTTCTGTTTATCGGGCCACTTGACACCATGGAAACTAGTTGTGTTCGTGGGGAGCGATTTTTAGTGTATTTTCCAACTCATGTTGGCTATTATGGCCACTTTCTTCTAGTAAAGGTCAACGTATCGCATATTTTAAACATGACGTATGCGCATGCGGAGATTGTGCAATGCTAAATTTTCTTATTTATAAGAATATTTATGCCATAACTTATTTTCCTTTGTACACATAAATAGTCCGTTATATGACCTTTCCGGAAATATAGATCAATTTATGGAAAAGTTACTCGCCTTAAGGCGAAAACCTTTTTTTTTTCATTTTTTTAAAATTAGCTGCATATTCTAATACTAGAAGCGCGTAACACAAATGGAGTGCGTGATGATTGTGGAAGTAGAATATCGTGAAAGACGCACATGGAGGTGGTATAAAGGACTGAAAATAAAACAATTTATTTATTTATTATGGAAACTGTTCTTATTCTCTTAATGGCCCCGCTGGAAAGTATAGATGAAATAAGGAGGAGGCGATGAGGACGACAAAATACAGCTTCACTAATCTTCTTTAGCTCAAATAACCTTAGTACCTTCAGTTAGTTGAACTGTTAATTTTTGACTACCGTTCTGATAAATTTCCCCCACTAAATGCACGTTTTGGTTCTTGAATTTCGATTGCAAATCTTCTCGTATTTTATAACTTCGCTAAGAATTCAGTTGGGACGCACGTAACGCGATGGTTCCCGAAAATCAACTTAGAATAAATTTATCAACGATAGAAAAAAAACAATGTACGTGATCGCTCGCTAACTCGTCTTCGAATCTAATGTTTAACGCACCCAAGTAGTACGTTTCGACTCGCGAAATCGAACAAGGATCTCTCCTTTTCCTACTTTTTTCGCTATTTGAATCTGGCCCACGAGAAAAACCGAAAAGTGACCTATTTTCTGAACGCAAACAAACCCGCATTTTCGCCACGTACTCGGTTTTAAACAGAACGGAACGAAAGTTTTAGCTTCGAAGGGATCGTGGCAACCGCGCTCGCTTTCCACAATGCGTTTCTTGTTATCGCTTGTTATCGCCAGACATACTTTTGTTCATGTTCGCTAGGAAGAGGTGTATGTGTAAACTTCCTCGAGTTGAACAAAATACAAATTCAAAACCAAATTTTTTTGAAGCGACCCTCTAGTAATACGTAACGGTCGTCGTATGTAGATATTCACGAGGCGTGTCGAAAGCTTGCGATTTGTCCGGGTAATAATATTCATCTCCATATCAACCGGAAATGCTTTCTACATCTGGTCGTGTCTCTTTGGAATGTGATCGGAGGGGATAACCCCCTTTTAAAGTCTATGGATTTGATGTTACTAGCAAACGCCTCATTGAATCATACTTTACAAATAGGTTTCAATGTGTAAGGATAAATAATAACCTATCAGGAAAACTGTATAACGAAAGGAGTACCCCAAGGTAGTATTCTGGGGCCTCTTCTCTTTTTAATTTATATTAATGATATGCCAAGCTTTATTTCTGGAAATGAAAACTGCCTTCTTTATGCAGATGATGCTACCTTACTTGTTGGGGCCGAACACATTAACGGGGCACTAAATAACTCCAATGAATTACTTCAACGAGCTAATACTTGGTGCACTATAAACTTATTACATATAAATACAATGAAAACGGTATCCATGATATTATCACTGCGATCACATGATTTATCAACACCTGAATATGTGAAATTTTTAGGAATTTGTATTGATCGTAAATTAAATTTTGATGTTCACGGTAATTTTGTTGCTACGAAGTTAAGCAGAAATATATTTGTTTTGCGTAGATTAGCGAGTAATGTAACTATGAATATTCTTAAAACTGCCTATTTTGCACTCATACATAGCCACTTGTCTTATGCTATTAATGTTTGGGGTCACTTTGCTTGTTGGAGGCAATTATTTAAATTACAAAGAAAAGCCGTTAGAATTATTGCTAACATTTCATTTAGAGATGATTGTCGGCAAGCTTTCATTGATCACCATATATTAACGCTTCCATCTATTTTCATTTTTACTTGTCTTTGTTTTGTTAAGCGCAATGAACATTATTTTGTTAAAAATTGCGATGTTCATAATTATGACACCCGCAACAAATTAAATGCATTTGTCCCTTTTTGTCGTTTAAGTAAGACGCAAAACAGTTTTGATTATATCAATATAAAAATGTATAATTATATTCCTCCCAATATTAAGGCTTTACCTTTTAATTTATTCAAATCAAGAACTAAAGCATTTCTTATTGATAAAGCGTTTTACGCCTTACGTAAAATAACAGGGGGCGCATTTATTTGGGGGCAGATATTCTGAGGGTAGTTCGCAATAACTCAAGCGGGCGGCAAAGGAAGTGAACAGAGGGCGAACAGGGCTTCCTCCAGAACTAATAGCGCTAGTGGTTCAAGAGCATCATGACCTCGGTGGTGCTCGCACCCTTTGAATATAATTTTATATTCAAAGCCGTACCGAAGAAAGAGCCCGGAGCGGTACGGCCGATTTAGTTTATTAACCACTTAGGAAAACTGATGGGAGAGTGCTGGATAAGAGACTGGAGCAGTCTCCTAAAAGAGGCCTTTAGAGACACTAGAAGTTGTTTAGTGGGAAGTGTAGAAGCCCCAGGAAAAAGTAGTACTAGATCAAGAGTCAATATATTGAAAAACATTTCTGAAGTAAAATAAATTAAGAATCCGATTCATTTGTTACATTATTATTAAAAGTATGTAGAAATAATAATTTTATCAAACATTGGGTAACTCTTATCTCGAAAAATAATTAATAGGTACCGTACACTGTGTATGAATAGATAAGTATATGTATAAATACACCTTTTATTTTTAAAATCAAACAGTAAGTAATATTACATTTTGGTGAACACATAAGTTTGATGATGGGCGAAGAACACATTATTCACGGCGCTGAGCTAAAAGTGCCAATTTCCAATAAATCTTTGGGAGAAGAATTATACAATGCTTTAATGCGTGGACCAGAGGCTCCAATATTTGTGAGTACCTACCCTATACTTCTTTGTGCAGTGTGGCAGTTATACTATTAGACAACCCTTTCTTATCAATAGTATTCAATTTCATCCTTTGTACCCGGGTATGCGATAGCGAAAGTATTTGTCAACTTATCACAGGTCAATTCCGGGTCAACCAAAGGAAAATAGGTTTTAATTCGTTGGCAAGTGGTGACAGTAGCAACTTCAAATATTTGTACGATAAGGATGAATGTAATCTACGAATTTAAATAGTTAAATAGTAACATTCAAAATAACATTTTTCTCTCGGTATGGATGTCTGGATCTGGATCTTCTAATTTGAGCGAATTTTAGTGGTAACGGTCCGTAGATTGGCATCCATCGAAAAATTAAAGGCTTGCTATTGTTTAGTAAATGATTCATTTAATGTTAGGAAGCTTAAGGAACTTAACTTCTCCCGACTTTCCAAAAGCAGCCACTTACAGATTTCTAACCCAGAATACAGAAATTACTTTATTTTAGATAAGCTTGGCGACCATGTAAAGTGTTACTCGCTTACCAAACGTCACAATTACTTTTCCTTTTTCTGGCAACACGCTTCAATTAATTATGCAGTTTCCTTCCCGTAAGGAAACCGGGTAATGCACTCCGCAGTGTAAATTAGGATTGTCTTGATTTTCCCTCAGATCTTGGTGGTTTCGCGTGGATCGACAAACTTTGCGGCTGTTGCGCTTTAGATTCCTCCCGAGATTTTGCTTACATTGTCCACTCCAGTCATCGTGAGATCAGGGGTGTTATACTTCCACTCNTTAACTGGGTCAACTGGGTCACTAAATTAAACTGGGTCACTGGGTCGCTGGGTCACGTCATACTCTTTTCAGTTAGACCCAGTGACCCAGTTGACCCAGTGACCCAGTTTGCCCCAGTGACCCAACTTGACCCAGTTTGACCCAGTGACCCAGTTTGACCCAGTGACCCAGTTTGACCCAGTGACCCAGTTTGACCCAGCGACGCAATTTCACCCGGGGACCCAATTCGACCCAGTCACCTAGTTTGATTGAATAACGCAGTTAAGTCAGTGCCCTCGGTTCAAGTGTACAGATTATGCAATAAATGAAATGCTGGTTTGTGAAAATAATACTCGATTGCTTGACAACTGCCATTTCTGTGATGTTTGCTTTAATACTGCCGTAAAAAACTTTCCATGTACTGCCGTAAAAAACTTTCCATGTCCCGAATTGTATTAGAATAAGTTATTTCTTTGCTTCAGGGCTTTCCAGTTTGCTTACAGGTGTTCATTCACATTTAATTTTTTTTCTACTAGTTAGCTTAATCCAAATAAATCTTTTCTCTAAATACTTTCATTGACTACTTGACTACAAACTATAAACAAATGCATTTGATTTTTTAGGTATTAGTTCTCTTGAATGAAATTGGGCTACGTGCTTGTTGCCGAATATTATTGAGGAAGTTTTTTTTTAATTAAAAGTTACTTGAAATTGTTTTGGATGATAACTAACAATAATTTAATTACTGGGCTACCGGGTCAGGACGGGTCACTGAGTAAAGCTGGGTCAGGATGGGTCACTGGGTCAAGCTGAGTCACCGGGTCAAGTGGGTCACCGGGTCAAATCTGGGTCCAAGCTGGTCACGGGTCAAGCTGGTCACTGGGTCAAGTGGCACCGGGTCAACTGGTCAAGCTGGGGTCACGGGTCAAGCTGGGTCACTGGGTCAAACTGGGTCAAGCTGGGTCCACCGGTCAAGCTGGGTCACGGGTCTAAACTGGGGTCCCGGGTCACTGGGTCAACCGGGTCAACTGGGTGCACCGGGTCACTGGGGTCAAGTAAACTAACTGGGTCACCGGGTCAGCTGGGGTCACTCTATGCTTTGACCCAGTCAACTTTCTGACTGTAAGAGGCATGACATTTCAAGGTAGCTATAGATAAATCCCTGAACGTTGTTGTTTTGATTGTTTACCCTCTTAAAGTTGAATCTTTCTGCCCAAAATATGTCAATGGCTAGCTCACTTTATTAAAATTAGCTTATTCCTATTCCTTCACTAGCATGAACTTATTTCCTTTTTTTACCTCTTACAAGGCTGATAAATACACAAAATGAAAATGTAGAAAAGCATTGAAATTTAAATCAAGTAACTAAGCCATCAAACAAATAAATTTTATGTTTTTTGAAACTTCCAGTATCCCAAAATCCGTAATGAATACAAATAGCCCAAAAATTACAATTCACCTTATTTCTACGGCTTCTAGATCTACCCCTTCGAGCAGTTTTGCTTGGGGAAACTGGAATACTGTCAATTTTGAGGTTTGTGGAATGGAACCAAAAATAAATGTAGCTTAAGTTGGACCCTCGGTTCGACCCGTACTAGAAGGCGGCGGTCTCACCGCCTCGGGTTCCAATCTTCCATGGAAACGCACGGCTTTGTGTAGTTCAATGGTCGCGTCAATTTCTTTCTTTCGATGCGTATATCAATATAACTCGAGCGGGTTATATAATTTTGCGGTGTCTGTCCGTCCGTCCGTCCGTTGGCACGATATTTGGATAACTAACGGACCGATTACGATGAAATTTTGTAGGTGGAGTCTTTATCAAATTTGTTTGTGGACACCTTCGTGAGTGTGAGTTATAAACCGAATTGCATGAAATTCAATATGCGTATAGCTTTAGCCATATAAAACGCAACAGTGCCCTTTTCGCATCTCTCGACCATTTATAAAGCGAATTGCAAACTTTCCTATTTATGAAAGCATTTAAATGAAATTTCATACATACAGGGTGTTTCGAAATTCGTGCATACGGACTATGGGATGGTGTTATACGACAAATACTGAACAAAAAGTTCCTCTACCAGTTTTCCATCAGACCGCTACTGCGGTTTTAAAAATTTCCACCCCCCCTACGCTGCGCTACTGGTTAAACTTAATAACACATTTTTTAAAACAAAAGAAGGTTCAAAATTCAAAATAAACTATATTATGACGAGTACGTAATTACAACAGTTGTTCAAAATGTCCGCCGTCTGCAAGTAAACAAGCTTCAGCACGTCGAAAAAAAAGTGCCGGTCTGATCAAAAACTGGTAGAGGAACTTTTTATTCAATTTTCGTTGTATAACACCATCCCACAGTCCGTGTGCGCGAATTTCGAAACACCCTGTATACGAAAGCAAAACTAACACCAGGTTCAAAATTTGGTTTTGCACATGCTATAGCCATACCCAGGAGCTCTTTTTTTATATTTGTTTACAGTTAATTATTTCTTGCAACTTCTGGCCACTCTCACTCGATCCTCTTTATCGAAACTGTTTATCTACTGGGCTGTTTTCCTCGATGTGCGTAAACTTGACGGAAAATGAACATGCGCTTGTTTCTTCTCCGATATGGATCCTTCCTCGACTTATTAACGAGCTCCTAGCGAGTTTATAATTTTGCGGTGTCTGTCCGTCCGTTAGCACGATATCTGGATAACGAATGGACCGATTACGATGAAATTTTGCAGGTGGATTCTTTATCAAATTTGTAGATCGGAATTCATGAATTGGCAATGTAGATAAAAATATAAGGAAGGCTCTTATGACATCTCTTTTATTTAACCGAATTGCATGAATTTCAAAATGGGCATAGCTCTAGTCATGCAATGCGCAATTCCAAAAGTTGAGCCTAATCGATCAACATTCACAATGCCCTTTTCGCATCTCGATCATTTTATGAACCGAATTGCAAACTTTTTATTTATGAAAGGTATTTAAATGAAATTTGATACTTAGGCACTTGGAATAAAAGCAAATGTGACGCCAGTTGCAAAATTTAGTTTTGCGCATGCGATAGTCATATCCATCAGGAGCTATATTTGTGTACACGTTTATTTAAGTTTAGATTACGAACTTTATTTTTTTGTACTGTAGATTCCAGATAAATATTGGATGTTAGCATACCAATTTCACTACATACCTTTGGAGACTATAATCGGCTGCACAACTGTGCCTAATTTTGTTATATCATATCCCATAAATGTTAAATTTCTAATCACCTTAACCCGTAAAATAATACCTATAGCCCTTATTTCAACTAAAGCGCTATAATTTCTTACAGATAGATGCCGTATCCGGGGAAACTGTGTCCAATAAGTGCCTACTGAAGAACTCCGTCCGCTTAGCAGAAAGTATTCGCAATTTTGGATTAACACAGGACGACGTAGTGGCAATTTGCAGTGAAAACAATTTGTACTTTGCTGACCCCGTTTTAGCAGCCTTGTATTGTGGTATTCCTGTAACCACTTTCAGCCCTCACTACACTGAAGGTATGTACATACCTACACTTACAGCGCTTTAATATAAATGCGTTGTCATGGACTTTTTCTGCATGAATAAATGTTAAAGTTTTGTTAATTAAGCGTACATAATTTTCAGGAGAACTGTTGTACGTCGCCAATTTATCGCAGCCATCGATTATATTCTGTTCAACCGGATCAAGCGCGGCGGTTCTAAAGGTGAAAGATCAGCTAAAAGTAACACCTAAACTGATCATAATTGACCAAAAAGATGACTACGAAGGTTGCCAATCGGTGGAAAACTTTGTAAAGGACAACATTTCGAAAAATTTCGAAATAAATACATTTGTTCCCAGTCCAGTGAATGTCAGAGACCATGTTGCGTTTATTTTGTATTCATCGGGTACGAGTGGATTACCGAAGGGTGTTATGTTAACACATTATAACTATAATGCGTCTATTTCCATTTTCGAGTAAGACATCCTGGTTCTCATGTTTGACAGCTTTGTATCTGATTATGCTTCCAGTGATGTCCTTCAATCAAGGCCACGTAATTCACCTGCCGTAGCCTTCGTACCCCTATGTCACGCTTTCGGTTTATTTACGATCTCAATAAAAATTGCTTGGGGAGGAGTTGTAGTAATAATGAACAAATTTAACCCGGAAGTTTACATGAAATGTATACAAGATTATAAGGTCGACGATCTTATCGTAGTGCCATCAATTGCGAATTTTTTGGCAAAAAGCGATTTGGTTAATAAGTATGACTTATCCTGTGTCAAGGGAATATTCTGTGGAGCGGCAGGGTTAAGCAAGGATATTCAACAGGTGTTAATTGAACGGTGAGTTTACTAAAGCAAACTCCAGAGAATCCCATTAGAGTTTTGTAATAGATTTAAGGTGAAAGATATCCAACAATCATATGGAATGACAGAAACGACCACTGGAGTGATAAGTCCATTATTGAATACAAAGGATAACACCCTCGGTTCATGTGGTTGCGTTTTGCCAAGCGTCTCGGCAAAGATTGTCGATGTCGATACAGAAAAGTCGGTGGGGCCCATGCAACGTGGAGAATTGTGGTGTCGTGGTCCTGTTATAATGAAGGGATATATAAATAATCCAGAGGCAACTGATGATGCTATAGATAAAGATGGATGGCTACATACCGGCGACATTGCGTACTACGATGAGCACGGTGCATTTTATGTCGTAGATCGGCTAAAAGAAATAATGAAGTGTAAAGGGTTTCAAGTAAGTGCTAGTTTCGCAGTACCACAAGTAGCCAAATTATAATTGCAGGTTGCTCCCGCAGAACTAGAATCGATTTTAATTAACCACCCCAAGGTAGCAGACGCTGCTGTGATTGGTGTCCCACACGAAAGAGATGGCGAAGTACCACTTGCGTTTGTTGTATCGGCACCAAATCAAGTGCCAACTGAAAAAGAAATGCAGGATTTCGTAGCAGGTAAAATAAAGCGTTTCCAGGTTGAATCACTTGTCAACTTTGGTTGTTTCAGGTCAGGTGGCAACTTACAAACATCTTAAAGGTGGTGTCAAGTTTCTAACAATGATTCCTCGAAATGCGAACGGAAAAATTCTTCATCGCGTGTTAAGAGAACAGTACTTAAAGTAATCCAATTGATCAATAATTAACGCGCATATCACGTGATTAGAGGAGTAGATCAGTAAATACTGACTGCAACATTTTGGTTGAAGTTTTTTTATCACCCTCTTAAATACATACCAACCCTACGCTGCCTCCATAACAAAATCACCATCTTCAAATTTTTGGTACAAATTTACTCAGTGAGAAGTTTGATAATAGAGGACCACTAAATGCAATGCGTATAAAAAAACGTCGGTTATTGAGTTGCCCTTAAAATGCTTCATTTTTCAAAGCTTGCTACTGGTAACGTTACCTTCGCGACGAATACGAAGTTTGGCAGAAGAAAAGTTCGTATGAATCGCGAATACAAGCAAACCGGCTTCAATTTAGCGAAAGTAGTACTCGAGATCGTGATTATGCACAGGAATAGTTAGCCAATGTTCCGCTGCGTTGATATTGATTCTTTTATTAACAAGGTTATGTTGCATCGATTATTCAATTCCTTTCCGTATGCCGCTGTATACAAAGTTTCGCACAAGGCGCTTTCTATTGGCGCTACTCAACTTGTTTTTAAGTTACTGTTACTGTTGGTGATCCAAAAAAAACTTTATTACAATAAGTTTTAATGTCAAAAGTTGAATTTTGTCTATATTCGAGATTTTAAAGCATGGAAAAACAAATAAACGTATAGTGTATACTTCTCAATAAACAGGAAATTCGAGTCTGTAACGGTACCTGCTGTTGCATTTGTCCAAATGTCCAAAGGAATGGGTAAAAACAGAAAATAAAATAGAGTAATCTTATGAGCTTTACGAAACGATTCTTATTTTCTTATAATTTGCACCATTCAGTACGGTAAATAAACAATTTTGAAAAGAATGAGGTAGGTTCCTGTAAATCAAAAGAGATTAAAGTCACACTTCCACCATGCATTAAAAAATAAATTGAGCTTTTGCAATGTTTATTTTAAATTGAAGCGGAATGACAAACGATAGGTAAATTTCTGCTGAGGAAGACGTGGGAACAGAAAGTGTCATGGGATGAACAAGTAACAGAAATGGTCTTTTCGGATTTTCAATGATGGTTGGTAGAAGTTTATCTTCTGGTGCAAATTAGGGTCCCTCGTTGGATACATTTTTCTCTTCTCTGATACAAGTCAGAAGGCCTACGCAGCTGTGGTGGTTTTAAAAGCCATCTTCCAAGGAGAAGTTTTCGTTCGATTATTAGCTGAAAAAAGTCGAATTGCTCCTTTGAAGATAGTAATGATACCCAGACTAGAACTCCTGGCAGCCCTAATAGGATCTCAGTTGTCCACGTCAGTCCTTTGTGGTTTGGCAGAGGAAATCAAAGCTAATTTCTGGAGTGACTCCACTACGGTTCTGTCATGGATCAAACGACTAGAACAATAGAGGATCTTCGTGGCAAATAGAGTTAATGAGATTTGTTCTCTATCATCGCCTACAGGATGAAATCGTGTGACAGGTTCAAAAAAATCCAGGTGATTTACCATCTATTGAATCTTGCCGGTGGGAGGGACCGAATTGGTTGTACGAGTCTCCAGAAGAATGGCCAATTTCTTCGGAGCAGATGTGATGAGAATGAGGTAAATGAAGAACGTATCGCGAGATGTGCAACTTGTTTGAACACACGTTCAGATTCCATCGAGGCATGGCATCTGGGCTATTTCTCGAAGGTTAGCATGATGGGGTGGATTATCAGATTCATTCCTGCACAACTGCAGAACTAGATAGAAGTGGAGAACTGACTTCTGTGAAAATAAAGAAGGCGCAGAAGTTTATTTTCAAGTTTGTGTATGTTACACACAAATATCCAAAACATTCAATGAGCGAAAATTACGCACACAACGCGTTGTGGCCGAAGCTAAATGACAAACACCGAAATTAAATATTTTTACGTGTCATGATGGTCGTTAACTTATAACCAAGAATGACCATAATACATTGTATTATTTATTAAATGACAACATATTTAAAAAATATAATGAATTTTAAAAATAATGTTAAAGACCAAAAATTATGACGGGACATCCTGTATATGACAAAATTTCAATTTATGAAGTGTAAATCGCTCGATTACCTATGAATAAGTACAGAGGTGATTTTATTTGAATTTGAATTTCCGTATTTGTTGTTCGTTTTAGAATTGTCTGCAATTGTGTACAACACTGCGCATACCCTCGTGCGGTGCGCTTATGCTCTAATGCAAAACAAGCAGACCAGGGAGCCTATTTCATAAAGCTACTGTGCAAATTTTCACTTATCACTTTGCATTTGTATTATTTTGAAGTGCAAAGATTATTATCGGTTTCATAAAATATTTGAGTCAACGTTTCACTTCGTGTGTTCATTTTTACTTTACATATTTGGAGTGATGACGTGTCAAAATAGTCTTTATGGACCAAAATATTATTCAAAAATTTATATATATTTTATTCAAAATAGCTTTATCAAATAGCCCCCTTTTCACACGTAAACGTATTTTTCAAGGGGTTTGGAAGTGTGTTGTTGTCAAACCTATTAAATACTGCTTTATGTTTTCAGAATGGATCTTATTATTGATATTGAATTCTTGATTAATGTAATTCAAGGATTGTCTGGTTCATAGCACATGAAAAACATTGATTATATAAAATTAATTCTTCCTTTGAGTCAGATGATTACAGTTCTGATAGTAATTAGTGCCAACATGGCAATTTTTAAATTTTCTGAGTCGAATGGTTTACCGCTACGTGCGTGTTATAACAGCAGGCTGCCGAGTAGGCGGCCGACTTGGCCAAAACCGACTGGTGTGTTTAGGCCCTAATTGTGATGGGCGGTTTTATTTGAAAGTCCTGGAGGAAGAGATTTTTTATAGTGGAAATTGTATTTCGTTAAATACTGAAATCGCCGAAAAACCTTGGCCGCTGTTTCCCGACGGTTGCAAAGCGTGTACGTTTCTTTACGCTATTTTTATTCGGACGTAGTTTGTCATTATTATAATAAAGTGTGGAGAAGCAAGTTAATAACAGTTTTGTGAGAAGCTACCTGCAACCCTTTATTTTATTCATCAAGTTGTTTGTGTGGAATGTTAAGCACAGCTAATCGGAAATCGTTGTACGACCAGATTAATAAGAGAAAAAAACTGTCAGTAATTTAAGATTTTTAATATGTTTAACTATTGACCATATGAGTGCGGAGTAATTTGTCCAAACAAGCTTTGTGAGCTTCTTTCTTTCAGGAACGTTGTTTTAATTTTTCATTTCATGTGTTTCGGAAAATTTTCAATCAATTAATTGTGTGTTTATTCGAATCCATTGTGTGATTCGGATAGAGTTTTCATGTCAAATTTTCCTTCTTGTGTCCAAGAATTGTGACAGGTGTTAATTAATATTTGTGTAGTTAATCCTTTGGAAATTTCGGAAATTGATTGAGGATACGGAGTCTCCCAAACCATTAATTTATGTTAATATTGGAATTTTTCTTTGTAGAAGATGCCGGAAGTGTTCTTTATTTCTTTTTTGATTCGATTGAACCAAATTGTACAATTCATTTGCTCTCACAAGAGCTACTCTGGAGCTGCATAGTACTTGCTTAGAACAGCAATTGCAAACAATTCTAAAACAAACAAATACGGAAATTCAAATTCAAATAAAATAACATCTGTGCTTATTCGTAGGTAATCCCCCGATTTACACTTCATAAATTGAAATTTACAGGATGTCCCGTCATAATTTTTGGTCTTTAGACCGAAATAACATCTACATGAAGCTATTTTCAAAATGCATTATATTTTTTTAATATGTTGTCATTTAATTAAATAATTCATTGTTAGATGGTAATTCTTCAAACGAGCAAACGCGTTGTGGTTAGACACGCTGTTGTCTTTTGTTGGCGAGGACGGTTTAATAAGAGTGGAAACGAACGGTTCGAATGGAGTTTCAATCCACCAGCAGCACCTTGGTAGGGAGGCTTCTGTGAGCGGATGGTGGGAGTGATAAAATAACTACTCCGAAGAGTACAGGGCCGCGCTTCTTTGAATTACGAAGATTTGATGACAATTTTTTGCGACTGTGAACCAGTCATCAACTCTCGGTCCATCAGTTTTCTGTCATACAGCTCTCAACAGTTGATGGCAGATGACGAAGAAATTACAACGTCCCCAGGTCCTAAGAGATTCTTTGAGAGAACGTTTTTGGAGCGAATATCCTGGTCAGCTCGGAATTCTTTTCAGAGAAGACGAACTTAACAAGCCAGTTTACGTTAGAGTAAGTTGTTTTTGTGGGAGACGACGATACAAAGAGCCTCAACTGGCCAATGGGAATAATCAAAGAAGTACTTCCTGAGTCAGATCGACAAATTCGTGTCGTACGGGTGAAGATTAGCAAAGGTATTGTGATGAAAAAATGAAAAAAAAATTATCGGCTGGAGTGTCCAAAAGAGTAGGTACATTATTTTGTACTTAACCTTTTATACGACTGCAATTCAAACTACAGACATTTGTTAATTTTATAATAAGATTGACAACGGTCATGGAGACATGAAGATATAAACCTATACTAGGCGTTACTCATTGAACAAGTTGTTCTTCTGGTATCCTTAGGTGTATCGCGTACTAATTTACCTAAAAGGTACAACTGTTATCTAAGCTTCAAATAAGTCGTAAGTGATATATGCGAAGACGAATGATACGGTGTGGTTAATATTGAAGTAGACCCATATTAACGTGTTGCCGACCTCGTCGCCAAATCTTCGCGTGACATATGTGGAAACATATCCGACAGGTATTTCAAAAAGTGTAACCAATATGCCTGCTCCAGAGTAGATTCCCAAAGGTAAGGTGTTCTGTTAAAAAGTCTATTAATAACAATAGTGAAACAATGTTTTGATCACTTACCACAATTTCGTGAAGAAGACCGGCAATCAGAAATGAAATTGTTTTAGCGGTTCGCTTACCGAAACCTTTCCGCAATAATGGGATCATAACTGTCAGTTTAAGGGCGTCGTAAATTAGGCGATTCCATAGTCTCCAAAATTCGTCCATGTTAGGTGAGTTCCACCAATCCTCCTCAAATACTACATGCGGCATTCCGGTTAGAATGGCGTAAGTGGGATGGATGATTCTATAGAATAAGAAATACCCCAAAATCCAGAATAGATGTAAGAACACCTGTAAAAAGTGCCATCCAACCAATGTATGGGCAAATGGCGTTCCTTACCATAACGGTAAAAAAACGTTGCACTTTTTCAGTACCATTGAAATGGTTATGTTTTAACAGTTTCAGTTCTGGAAAAATAAACTGCTTTGCCAGGAACGTCATACCGCAGATTACGCTAAAAGCCAAGAATAGTTGTCTCATACATTCTCTGAAGGTAGGGTACTGGCGGTCTGGGTAGGATAACTTATACTGTACATGTGGAGTGCACAACATGTATTCACACAAATTTTTAAGTGTAACGTTCCTCGGATATTGTGACGTACCTTTATCTAAAATTTGAGAAACATTGAAATCTGGAGCGAAAAATGAATTTTGGTGAAATGTCTAACAATCGGGGGTAGAGCATACATTTTTTTCATTCCGGAATATTCTCGAAGTAAATGATCATGAGTCTTCACCAAATTTTATGGTAGGTATGTTTAAATGTTTATGTTCTTAAATCAAGCTCTCTTAGAATAGAAGTTTGAAGGTTTAATGAGATGAGACTTGCATTTAGTTCCTTTTTAGGTTACATTATTTTCACTCTTATTTATAATTGCTGGTCCAACTTATGGCTCACCTGTTTTCTTACGTACCATCTCTTTTTATTGATTGTTTTCTTAACTCCTTGTTTACGTATGCATATGACCACGTCTTTATGATGCTACACTGTACCAAAGTCGATGAAACTGTCCTAATAACGCCTGAAACAAGAACTCGTCCTTAAGAAGGCGTTATTTATTAACACACTGACTTACCGAAACTTGCTTGATTAAATCTAACCGTAACGACAAAGGTAACCGCAACAAAGAAAGCGTTGATGGCGTGTAGAGTCATTCCTTGTCGTTCTGATAAACGATTCTAAAATATTTAAAAACCGTGAGAAAGATTAACACCGCTTAGGTACTTCGACAAAACTAAGCATTTCACAGTACGGACAGAATTTTGGTTTTATCTTAGACATTTTGGTTTTTTGTTTACAAAACTAGAAAGACCCAAAAAACCGAAGTTTCGGTCCTTACTTCTTGTAGTTCCTGAGAAAAAAAATTGAAGAAGGAGCGTAAACTTTGTGACCTTTGGGAACGTAACTTCCAAACGATACATTTTGGACCTTTGGTTTATCTATGTTTTGTTTTGGTCCCCTCTACAGCCCACTTTTTGCACATACTTCATTGTTACACCCCGTATATCACTTGCAAAGCGTTAATATTTAATTGAAGTAATTCCCCTTTTCTTCAAGTTCAGAAAATCATTTTAATAATAATTGTTTATTAAAAATGAAATGGAAATGGGAAGACAACACATGCTATGTTGTGACTTACCCAAGATAATAACTTCTCTATGAAGAAAGTTTGAGCCATTTGTTGTAAAATACCTATAATACAATTTTAAATAGTATTAAAAATATTGTATAGATCTACTTACAAAGAAATATTATTCCATACAGCCATGAATGGTTAAAGATCGTTACGGTAACCAACTTTACTATCTCAAAGGGATTCATTATAATTCCAAACCTATAATCATGTGATATGATAGACGAGTAGGTACAAAATGATTTGATGCACGGATATACTATGTATAAGCGGCCCTGTATATGAGATAATTGTCATTTTTACGGCCATGGGTGACTTTAGTAGTGGATGAAAGTTTTAGAAATAGTTACGTATGTTAAATAGGATTCAAAAACCCAATTCTACCTTCGTTTACATCTCTCTTAATTTAATTTTTTTTACCCCAAAATCCAGTACTAGAGTTGTACGCATTCTACCTAAGTGGACCATCTTACTTACCCTCTTTTTAAACGATAATAATATTTACTACCCCATTTTTTAAACACAATTCGTAAAAGTAGAAAATTCGGAACCTAACTAAGGTGTTCACTCCTAAAATTAACATTCAACGGCAACGTTCTTAATCCTTTGTGGGGATTTAACACCAACGAAAATTGTTTATTGTGTAAAAAAATAGTTGGGCCATTCACGTTTCATATAGTTTCCAGGAAGTAATAAATAAAACCGAAATTGATATTTAACTTGTAAGGAAAGCGTTCGGGTGAGTAGTCAAGGATCCCGTTGGCAGAGGAACGCAACTTAAACGAACAACTTACTTGTAAACAAGGTGCAATGTGGTCGTTCTATGAGTATAGTTTTACTAAAAATGTACACAGTCGATGAAATTGAATCGTAGAAGTGAAATGTGAAATGTAATCAGGCATTTGTTAATTATTTCAGTTCGAATCCATCATAGCAATACTGAAATGGTAACATGTTTTCACTTTTTTGAATAATTGAATTGAATACGTAATTTAATATCGTTTCTGTCACAAAAGTCACAAAACTTAGTGGTCTAATTACTTCAAAATGGGTGAAATTTAACGTTGGCTGAATTATGCATTGTACTTAATTATCATTAATTAAAATTTAGCCCTTGAGAAACTACGCGTTCGGTTATTTGTAATTAGAATTAGGTTTACCAATTACGAAAGCTGCTAGTAAATTGTATTAAACTTAGGTGAAAAGCATCCTTTTGATTGCTTCTCTTATAATTGACTTATATTTTAATTTCTTCCGCCATTCCGTGGTTAATCGGTTACGAGGACTGCCATTTATGCGCTTGCGTGTAGGTAGATCTAAAATTAAGGGTCTAAGTCAACGAAAAAGAAGTGGGTATCCCCCGCCACATCCAGTCTCACAGTCACCAACCCCTGGTTATCCAGGTTTGGTGATCGAGAAACAGAAAATGGCATACAAATCCAATAAAATCTGACCCAAAAGATGGAAGTTCGGTGATGGCATCAGGTACTTTGCGAATTTTAATATTACTTATTGAATATTCAGTACGACCCAGTCAGTTTTAAGTCATTTGTCGATTATACTTTGTATTAGCATAGTGTAATTAAGAATACACAGGTACAACACAGATAATCTAATCTACTAAACATTTTTACCTTCTGTAATTATCCAATGCCAAGATGGCTAATGTTATTGCTAGCATCAATCGGAACCAGTTAGACAGTCCATTGGCTGATCTGTGTGCGAAAAAAGTATGTTAAACAAAATCTACAAAATCTATAAGTTTAACTAGCACAAGAAAAACCAGACAATAGTTTATAATAGGGACTGTAATAAAGTAAAAGGGCACTGTGAATGTTGAATCGATTGTATTAAATTTTTGGCGTTGTGTACTATATGGCTATAGCTATGCCCAGTTTGAATTTCAGGCAATTCGGTTCATAACTAACGGAAACGCTTCCACCGTAATCTTCACCCATGTTTCCTAAGGTTGCTTCCACGTATAGATGTAAACAAACAAATTAAGGTCAATAATTAGTTTATTTAATATGAAAAAGTAATGCTAATTCTGATTCTGATTTCTGATAAGTTTTCAATAGATTTCTCACACTACTGTTGGAGTCAATGACGCAGGGGCACAGAACCGCAACTACAATATTATAGCAATCCGTGGTGATAAACGTACTTAAAATTGTTGTTTTCTATCTAGCATAGGTACCTTATAATGAAGACATACTAAAAAATTAAGCACCAGTAATCAGGGCCAAATCATTAAGACTGTGTGCTAATGAAGAATAATTAATAACACTAGAGAGCTAGCTAAAATAAATTTGAATAAAAGAAGTATATGACATGTTAATTAAGATTTAAGGGTAAGGTAAATTTAGTAAGGTACTTACCTTTGTTTCTTTTGAATGGATCTGCTCTCGTTCATTTTGATGAAATGTTTGAGAAGATTGAAGCTATTTTCGCTTAAAAGAGCCTCTGTACATTAAAGTTGCAAATTAATGCTAGGTGAAACTTAAGAAAACAAGCAAAATGAATTACCGATATCTTAACTATGATATCCTAATTGATGATATACGTTTATGTTTCAACATTTAGTTGGTATGAATTGCGTAGCAATTAATTATGTGTTATCGTTGAGTGAAGGAAATTACTCAATGGTGTTATGTTACAATCACCCTGCTAACAGTAATTTTTATTTTCAAAATGACTGACTGAGCATATAATTTAAAAGGTAAAAGTAAGACACTAATTTCTTCGTTTGGTTTTCTGGGAGTTTAAGCTTTAAAGTTCTAAAGAATCTCACAGAAAAATTGTGGCCACTTTGTCCGTCCGTCCGTCCGGCCGGCCGGCCGGCCGCTCGTTTTGAGACGTTACTAGTTCTTTATGTTAAGAGCTATTCTACTTTTTTCGCTATTTGGTTCGTTATGGTGTCGAGGCTTGCACCAAGGAAGGATTTTTTCTGAACCGCTTACAAAAAAAAGTGATTATTGATCTGTCCGTCTGTTCCTTTGTCTGTTGTCCCTCTATCTGTCCGTGTGAACGATAACTTTGGTTAGAAATGTCCGATCGCTTGAATATCTCCGTTAGTTATGAACTGAAATGCATGAAATTCAATATGGGCATAGCTTTAGCCATATTTTACGCAATGCAAAAAGTTGAGTCGAATCGATTCAAAATTCACAGTTCACTTTTCGCTTCTCGACTATTTATAAACCGAATTGCAAACTTTTTTATTTATAAAAGTAGGTATTTGAATGAAATTTGATACATAGGCACTTGGAATAAATGAAAATCAAACGCCAGTTTCAAAATTTGGTTTTGCGCATGCGCAGTGTCAACTTTTTCATTTATGTAAGAATTTAAACGAAATTTGATACATAGGCGCTTGGAACAAAGGAAAATCTAACGTTAGTTTCAAAATTTAGATTTGCGAATGCACAGTTCCAACTTTCTTATTTAGAAAAGCATTGAAATGAAATTCTTCTTATAAACGGAAATTGAAGTAGCACGTCAAAAATGGAATACACATGTGCAACGATATCTTTCATATTTGTGGCCGGATTTTTACGATTTTAACATAAGTTGCATCTTGCAAATGGGAAATGAATGCAAGTGGAAATGCGCTTTTTGTAAATCGTTTACTTGTTTACTTGTTGTGGTTACTTGCCGCTACTGCTACTGTAATACCTAGATCTGAAATGACAACGTTTCGTAGAAAACAACGGAGCTATAATAGTTAAATGACTATTCAAACAAATATATTAATTACAATCCCATTGTATCGAAAACCAGTATGTAATCAAACATTATATCAAGGAGTCGCTGAAAATAAAAATATAACCTTTGACCTCTGGTCGTAACGGCCGCTTGAGCTCAGAAGGACGCTTTTTTGCCTTATCTGTTACAGATAAAAACACAAACAAAAACAAGGGGCGGAACATAAAAATTGTGATAGCAATGTCTAACGTTCGACACTCGCGTTGTTGTATACTAAAATCGTAATTAACGCACAATAAGAACCAATAATTCAATTTAGGTTGACTAAACAAAAGCAAAATTTTGATCAACAACGAATCGTCCGTACGAATCGGTGATATAAAAGCACAAACGTGACGTTAATTTCAAGAAATTACTTTATAATGCACAAATGACTAAGTTTCAATCATCTAACAAACCTGAAACGTGAACAAACTAGCACCGACAAGCTCCTCGCAATGGCACAAGCACGCAAACAAAAATTGTAGATATCGGTTTCGGAATTGGTCTCGATAACTTCAAAATCTAATTTATATAACATATAATAACAACCACCAACAAATCCCTTCTAAAGGTAATGACAACATTTCCTTTTGGCTTCCTTACGATTATATAAAATAGCAAATAAATGAAACAAATACAATTTCCTTGCAATGCTAGAACACGCATAACCAGAGTGGTTTTACAAACATTTTGAAAAATGTCCGAAATGAATTTATAACTTAATCATACAGTATATGGACTGTTATTAGCCCTTTGCCAGGGTGCTGTATCCCTATGCTTTTAATACAAAGCGGCTAGTCACGGTTAGGAGCCACTGTAGACGTGGGTATGGGATTCTCAAGGTTAACTAAAGTCGTGTGAGCACCACCAGCAACGCCCTGAGCCCTAAAAGATTTTGCGCCCCATATCAGGAAAACGATTTTTTAATACTTACATAATAATAAACCAACTTTTACGAAATTATTAAGACAAAATAAAATAAGTCGGTACATTTACATAAAAAACAAAACGTATCTACATTGTATTTATGTAAAGCGTAGGTACCGGATATAATTAGAAAAATATAAGGGGGCGAAGTAGAGGGTCAAAACTTGAATTTTTGATGGTTTAAAACTTTCATACCATGGGGTCAGTGGTGTTTTCTTAGAGGCCAGAAACATATTTCGGATCCTACACCATTCGATTTTTTTCTTTTAGAGGTATCCAAAAAGTAGAGTGTATGAAACAAATCAAAAAACGATAAATTATTTTTAGAACCACCAATCTCACTAGGGGCTTCAAAGGGTTCAAACGTCCAATTATGATCATATTGCGAAATCAAGAAAGGTCGACAATTTATTATAAACATAACAAATAGGTATGTTGCTTTCTCATTTGGCAGTAATACCTCTCAAAATAACTAAGATATTAGGTTTTGCTTTTGGGAATGAATTAAAATAAGGTGGAAATCGACCGTCCAAAAAAACTCTGCAGTGTATGAAAGTTTTAAACTATCTACAAATGTAATTGTTCTGACCCTGTATTTGTCTCAAGATGTTTCTTCACTTGTTTGAAACGTAAACACCGTTCCGGGAGTTTTTGGTAACCCTGTATAAGTATGAAGTTAGTATACTGTGGTCCATAAGTTTCAATTATCGGAGTGGGAAATGCCCCTAGGATTGAAAAACTTTAAAAAAACCAAACCAGTTAATAAATATCCGGGCTCGCTTAGATGGTGGATGCGGTACTAGACTCACAGGGCCATTGAGGGAGGGGGGGGGGGTAAGGGGCCCCGAGCCCCAACGTCTGGCGTCATTGTACTTCCAATATAATTGATATCCGTTTTTTTACCATAAAGATCGATTAACTTAACGCACCGACCGGTACCTACCTTGTCTAAAATTACAAAATGTCTAAGCAGAAAGTCGGCAAGGGTTGTACAATTAAAAAATGTAGTGTTGCCACTCTCTAACAAACTCCCCATTGTATGAACGTTTTCAACGGTCTAAAACGTAGTTTACCCTGTATATGTGCATTAAATAGATAAGTATTATTAAAAATGTTATCACACACGCATTACTGCTTTTTTACTACCTGCACGTTAGCAAGGGAGGTATTGCATTGGGGTAAAAAATGACCCCACACTTTTTTGACGGAAATACACGTTTTGAAGCACCAGGAAGCCGAATCAAACGAAATATCGATGATGTCGATCGGTCTGTCGGTCGGTCTCTCTGTACCTACTCTCATTTTCGGCTAAACGGTTGAACCGATTGGAAGCAACTTTTGCACATATATTCTTAAACATAAAGAGACAGAATCGCGCACGTGCGGGTGGTATCTGAGTTATCCACAGAAAATTTTTTTACTTGCATAAAGTTATATTAGTAGTCTAATAGGCACTTAAGTTGACCCGGATCACGCTGTAGCTTCATGTTTCAGTTTTTGCTAATGAAGGATCAAAATGCAATAAAAGAATCACTAAAGTTAAGCGTATAAAATGTTACATAAAAAATAAGTATTTTTCGAGTACCAAATCTGCAGTAAAGTACTTATGTGGTGTTCCATTAAACAAAAACGTTTGATACGTCACTGGAATATACAGCACGCTACTGGTGTTCAGAACTATTTTAGAAACATGGAGACGGTAATTGTGCACAATTTTTCTCCAAGATTATTTTGGTAAAGGAATTATGATCCGAGGGGTCATAGATGCTACACCCTGTAATTTTAGGTAGGTATTACCATTGTTTAAATACTTACAATGGTATTACTTTTAGATACTGTCAAACAATCGTAATGCTGTAGAGCAAACGACCTGCTATTTAGCGGCGCAATATTTATTTTCAAACACGTAAATTAATACAAGTTATCTTTAGATCGTTGATTTGTTTGGTAGGTACTGTGTGAAGTAATGAATTAGAATTGCATATAAGGTGTGTCCTATAATTAGCTGCATCCATACCAACACGTTTCCCCATTGGTTTCCAAATCTGTAACTGATATGCTTCGATAGAGATGAAAATGGTATCTGTGCCATCATTATTAGGAGAGCGCCACCGTATCCAATTCGAAATGGTATTGTCCACTACAACAAAAAATAAAATACTTAATGTTGTTTAAACCAGTACTAATAATAATCACTGCAATGAATTTACATACCAAATACTCATGAATCACCCCAGAAACGACACCCACCACACATGCTGCTTGATGTTTGCTAAGCCCCATTTCCAAAGCTGGTATAAAAACTTCTTCCTTAAAAAACAAGTGGGTTGGATAGTTCCACGTAGCCCAATAGGCTCCTATATTCGCGGAGTTCCACCAGTCTTGTATATATGTGATCTTCTCAGTACCAAAAAGAATGGAAGGCAGTTTGAAACAAGCATTATAAAGATAGAAGTAAAAGAATGCTGACCATACGATGTGTATAGGTAACTGCAATGATTAACAGACACCTACTATACAATTTGTTTTACAATTAATTCTTACTGCTAATTTTAAAAAAGTGGAGAGAAGGTTGAGATGCTGCCTCTTATCAATGTAGTACGATGCATTTTGGAGCTCAGTCATCACATATTGATGCATTATAAGTGAACAAGCCAACAACATTGCGACACTCCGTAAAATAAACGTAAGTGATGCTTTATAATCACTTTTTCCTTTTTTCCAAGTATGAAATTTATATACCAGACATCCAGAACAAAACATGTATCGGAACAAGTGCCTCAAACTTCCAATTTTGAAATGTTCGATCTTGGTGTTCTGATCTACGATTCGTAACTATTAAAATCACGCTGTATATTGGAAAAGGGGCAAATAGTAAGACGATTTTTTGACAGTAACAGGAAATTTTTTGTTTTACAGTTTTAATGTTTTTGGGACTAGAGCTGTGGAAAAGCATTTTTGTGCGCGTATCAAATGCAAAATTATAGTTTATTTTTAACTTCTGCAACATCCTTAAGAAGGTGGTCAATGAGGAAAACCCAGCATTTGTTGGATTTAGTTCGAACAAATGAAATGTGAATAGCACTTCATTTTGATGCTTTCGTTTTCCTTTAGTATCTAAGCCGTATAGTCAAATAATCGTTCTACTACTAACAGTTTTTCTTTCTCCGGTATTTCTTCGGGCCGAACGACTGCACTAAATAATAATTAAATTCTAAAATACATACCTGACTTCAATTCAGCTGTTTGTTCATTCTGTATTCTAATTCTTCTATTATTTAATTGATATGATAACAGTTTCATTGTGGGAAAAAATAAGTGTGGAGCCAAAGCGAAAGCAAAAACTGGAAATTAAAGTCAATTACACAATTAACAAATTTCATTATATTGAACTAAAAACGTTTGAACGGTAAACTGGATTTGTCAGTCCAAAACAGAAATACTTACTTCCATTCAACTTTTGGTAGAAGCAAATGCACGCAAACACATTATATAGAAGAAAGGTGTTTACAGTGTGCAGTAATGCTCCCTTGTTTTCAGACATCAGTCGCTGAAAAAACCTTGCAGTAATTTCACTGCACTGTTTAGATACTTACGGAAAGAAGACACTTTTCAAGAACTGCAGAAATGACGATTTGCAACACGATCACTGTGGAAAAATAGTTAGTATAACATAAATCCAAGTTTGAATTTTTACCTAAATAGAATAGTGCAAACAACCACCACCAAATAATTAGAAATTCGTATAAATCTGTTGTTAATTGAAGAGGGCTTCGTATGATTCCATACCTGCAACAAAAAATCAGAAATAATCGTTTATGCTATACCTTATGAAATAAACTTGTATAACAAATAGCAAACGAGCTCCTGATGGGCCAATGAAAATTTAATTTCATTTTGATCTTATAAATAAGTCCATGAGAGAGCCCAACAACGTTGTTGATGATGTGATGTATTTTGCCGTTGGGAAACAACTTGCCACAGTGAACCTGAAGATTTAAGTCGGCGCTATGGACGACCGAACTTGATTGTTGAAACCATGGTACAGAAGACACGAAGTTTGAAACATGACAAAGAAAATGATTTTGAAGGTATCCTGACATTCGCTTCAGCCGTAGAGAACCTAATATGTACCATAGAGACTCTCTAATTCACAGCTCATCTCTGCCGAGTACCAGCACTTCGCTGAAGCTAATCTTCTCTACTTGTCAGCCTGGTTCAGTATCGTTTAGGAGGATGTAAAAAAAACAAACCACCGTTTACTACACAAGGTCTCTTCCATCGCAAATAATACTGCGATATCATTGAACTGCCTTCGTTGAACCGAAAACCAGAGTTACACCATTGAAATAACTTACAATTCCACGCTTGGAGCTACAAGCAGCTTTAATGGTGTTCTTAGAGCAAAATTTATCATACGTTGGGAATGAGCAAAATATACTGTAACGTGATTTATAAATTCGGGTTCGATTTATATCAATATTTATTAAACAAAACTAAAACACTATAAAATTACAATTTATATCGATTGTTTATATCACTCACACTTCGCAATTTATATTTCCGCACTCGATGTTTACGTACTCGTTCGGTAGTAGACTGGCGCGATGTTCGGTCCGCAACCATTTATACACGCAAGCAATGTAAGTCCCGAACATTCTCGAATATTCCTACAAAATCCCACTATCGCGCGCGTAGAAAATTCCAGAGCGCCAAAGGCGACGTCATTTCTGGAGCATTTCCGTTAAAATACTTTTGGGGAGACTCGCGAATGGCTCTTTGTTGGATTCGCAGTAGTACAAGAAAATTTAAACGGTTCGTGACCCCACGGGTAGGAGAAATACTAGAATACTCAGACGTAGACGCATTGCGGTGGGTGCCTACAAAGATGAATGTTGCAGACGCAGCTACACGGGATAATGCAACGCCCGACATAAAGTCGATCGATGGCTATCAGGACCGCTGTTTTTAAAGCTGTCAAGTGATCAGTGACCTGAAGAACCAGCCGATCAAGTTGTTGCTACTGTAGATACAGAAATGAATGTGCCCGCATTAACAATTACGACACCTGCAGTTCTGTCGCCAGATGACTACATCACAAAGTTCATTTTAGACTATTACACTATGTCAAGAGCGAGTAGCGAATCAAATCTGACGGAAGATGAATCTTTAATTTGCGTAAAGCCGTAAAGTAAAGTATAAAGTAAAGTGTAAAGTAAAGTGTAAAGTAAAGTGTAAAGTAAAGTGTAAAGTAAAGTGTAAAGTAAAGTGTAAAGTAAAGTGTAAAGTAAAGTGTAAAGTAAAGTGTAAAGTAAAGTGCAAAGTAAAGTGTAAAGTAAAGGGTAAAGTAAAGTGGAAGGTGTAAAGTGGAAAGTAGATCGACGTTCCATTATCATTGATCAATTTAGAAGGAACCGTCTATAAGATCCGCATATATGAGTTGATGTAAAAATTTTCTTGATTTGTATAAACAATTTAAGGAATGGTTGGTTCCCTTTAAGGAAATTGTGTCAAGGATATTTTATTGATATTAGTAATTTCAATCAAAAACTAGGTCTTAAAGGTGAATTTATCAGGAATGAACCCATTTAGCAAGAATTTGCTATTCTTTTCCATTTAAGTTGGTAGTCAATGAGAATTTCTAGTAAATGGGATCAACTTTATTAGCCATAAGGTGAATTTATGTGTGAAAAATGACCTTATATTTTTACTATCGTTGATATTGAAATGAGCGTTGTTAGAACGTAGAGAACAATATAAAGTGACGTGGATCTTGAATCTATTTCTGGTCTCGTCTATTTGTTCACTTTTTTATGGTAATTTCTTATTTATTGTCTGCCAGCAAACAAGTTAGAAATGAAAGTTTCAAATTAGATTTTCAGGTAAAAAAAGAAAACGAGGTTTGCCATACTTTCCATCCATTTTTAAACATCAGCTCTTGTCACGGACTAACAGTTCTCTATTAGGTTTACTACCTGTATCATGAGCGTTTAAATGTGGACACTTCTTTTCAATAATGCAGCAGTTTCACCTACAAGTGGCAAAAAACGTTGATAGGCATCATTTTAATCGGAAGCAAAGAGTAATATTCTTTGTTGGGAGTAATATGTATACGTTAGAAAAGAACATCGACAATATCATTTAATTTATTTACGTTACATGTATTCTTTAAGTGAAAAAATTAATTATTACACATGATTCTCAAACAAGTAACAAGTTTTAGCATTACTTTGTGTAATTTGTGTATAATAATAATAATAATAATAATAATGATATTTTTATTTTGTTTTCTTCTTTCCTGATAGCGTTGACTATTGTGGCCATTAATAGCTATGTTGGTAAGTATGAATTACATACTATCCGTAGATTTCCAATGCGAGTGTGTGAATATTTTTTTTTTTTTTTTCTTTAGAACCCTACATAACTTCACCAGACACAGACACTAATCGTTACTTGATTTTAATCCGTGCGATTAGTTAACCAGGCTAGACCTGAGTTCTCACAAGAAACACCGACCATAATAATAATAAACGTCTTTATTGTCAACAGAGCAAATAGCAAATAATAACATTTTTTTACATTATCGATGAAATTTCCATGTTGTTGAACATTTTTTTAATTGACACACAAGCATGACAAAAGGTGCAAGTTCAGGAACATACACAAGCGCCGCTCCTGGTTGTCCACTTAGATCAAAATCACCAAGGAGAAAGAAAGAAAAAAAAATTTACAATATAATTAGGAGAAAGAATAAAGAAAGAAATACAATTTATATAATGTATAATAGGTATAATAGGTATAATGGGTATAATAGGTACCTATAACAGGTATAATACATGCCCTAATAAGGCCATGGTATAATAGATAGCTTTTCTCCGATCTTATTTGGTTGCAGCCGATTCCAGAAAACGAGAGATCATATTCTGCCCATATTATTTTGTGTTTCAATTGAATTGCTTACTAATATAACGTAGTAAATTTCTTATTAACGAAGAAGCAAATAAGAATAACCTAGTTTTGTGAAATATTTCGCAATACACTTACGTTTTGTAATTGTCGAGGATATTTGCCAAGACGAAACAAAGGAAAAATATTACCAACCAATTGGTTAATGCATAATTTTCGTTTCCAATCCTGAAACGAAAGCTCCAATCAAAATCACTTTTAAATAAAATTCAGATTTTAAAACAGCGATAATATACCTAGCATCCTTCACTTTTCCATGTAAAGTACATGGAATGTTGCACAAATGGTACAATTGTACTAAACATATAAATAACATTGTTACGTACCTTTGAGCTACAGGCATTTTTCCCCAAAATTTTTTCTGTTGGGCTGTTTTGAGATTATGGGAACCGAATGAATGTAGCACACGCACACGATAACGGAGAATGCTAAGCGACGCATATACAAAAATGAAAGAATTACAAGGAAACTCAATTAGACAGAAAGCTTACGTGATAACATTAATTTATAGTAATTTGTTTCATTATTACAAAATTTTGTTAGAAGATAGTAAAATAAACATTACATTCAAACTGTCATGTATCTCTACAGAAAAACAAGCACCGTATCTATTTTCATCAAACTGTTAATTTTAGAGGATCTACAAATTGAGCCCATGTAATGTACCTATTCAACAGAAAGCAGCCCCAATTTTTCCAATATTAACTCCATTTTATATAATAGAAATATAAGAGGACAACACCCACCATAATTAACCAGAAGAAGTAGGAGAATGGGTGAATTTACAGATTATATTGTGCATGTAGGTCGGAGCAAAGAGAAAGTGGAGGAAAAAAAGGAAAGATGAAGGCAGTCGAAGATGGAGGATCCAGGATTAGTAGAACAAAGACAAAGTACATATGGCTTGAAGAAGAGGGCATTCTTGGTAGCATATATACCTATTAGAAGGTTAGAACTGGAGAGTGCAAATACCTCGACTCCTACATTACTAGGGGGAACTGGACAGGGAAATTAACCACAGGATTTAAGCAGGATGGATGAATTGGAAAAGGATGAGGGCTACTGATGTAGGTATGATAAAAGGATTAAGAAAGAGATTAAAGTTCACCCATGGTTTCTGGAAGTGAGACTAAAGAAGGTCCACGAAAAAAGATTAGAGGTGGCTGGTAACAGAATGTTGAGGAGAACGATGACAAAAACTCGTAGAGATAGGATTCGGAATGATACAGTAAGGGCGGAGCGACTGCAGTCTCAAGGAAGGTTCAGGAGCGAAGACTGCAATGGTTTGGACATGTAATTAGAAGGGAAGAGGGATATGTTGGCAGAAGAGTGAGCAGAATGCACGTGGAGCAACGAGGAAGACCAAAGAAAAGGTGGAAGAACGTGTGTTGAAGGACTTAAAAGAGAGAAGGGGTAGGATGAAGAGAATGTGTGGAACAGGAGTGGGCGGAGGATGAAAGTCAGGAACAGCGCGATGCCTCACAGAGGTGGGAAAAGCTGCAGAAGAAAAAGTAGTGGTAGCATACTGTCAAATCGAAAACAAAAGACTAATTAGCGCCTTACTGTTAGACAAATCATCATACGCACTATCGTGATTATAATACTTTTTATAATACTTTAAATACAGGTCGCTGTAGGGAGTAGCGGAGTAGCGGTACGCTTCCATCTCACATTGCTGTTTCATAAGCTGCATATTCAAATGAAGCAACCGATAATATTTAATTTCACATGTGTAATATTGTGTATAGTGACTAGAAAATGGTTAATGCTCTTTAATTATTAATAAATGGTAGGAATAGCTTAGAAAATGAATGTCAAACACTCTAAGCGAATAAAAAAATGTTTGAAATTGCCTATATTTTGTAATAGCATAGTGTAAGAATACACTAAGGTAATAGTAAATAGGCATCTGTTATGAAAACAAGTTTTGATCTTTTTCTTATGATCCATAGTCATAGAATACCCTTTTGGGTAGGTAATTAAGTATTATTGATCGTTATGGAAACCAGGAAACCACATTATTTATCACTCAACTACTTAATGAAATAATGCGGTAAACTCTTCTTTATTTAAACTGTATTCTTGATAAACAAAAGTAAAATAAAAATAAAATGCAACAGGAGTAACAATCCAAATTTCAATATTCGACTAGGGCTTCGTAATTATATGTACGGTAATCAAAGCTTTAGGGCGGTAGGCGTGTCTTGGTCGTTATTTATATGTCACTAAAATGTCATTCCCAACAAGTTTTTAAGCTTCCTGTGACAAAATTATAAGAATTCTTCAAGGCGGCAATCTCTTTGTAAAGATCACATAAACCGAAAATGAATTTTAGGATACTAACAATTTAATTCGTATACTGACAGAAAAAAGGCGTGTTAATTTTGATACCCACTCATTTCCTACTGTACGCATTGGTACAATACAACAATTAATTTTTTGGATTTCTTATAAACCGTGAAATTTGGGTATTACATAATTTTATTTAGTAGCAATTTGGAATGGAATTTGCGTATCAGTTTTAACTACTATATGGATTCTGATAACGCAAATTGGATATTAAGTCTTCTAATGTTCATTTTTTATCAATAGAATGAACAGTGGCGCGTAGAAATGGAAACAGGAATACGTTCGGATAATTATAGTTGATTCAACTCGTTACTCGCCAACTCTTTGATTTAATAAGGGCATATCATGTGCTACGACAATCGAGCAGAATGCTCTCTCTTCAGCAATTGAAACTGCATCATGTCATGTGGCCTATCGGAACCGTTACGTTTGTCCCTATCGGAATCTGCGTTACGTTTGTCCCTGGGTGGGTGGGTTAAGGACTCTCGTTACAAGTAGCACACATTGACTGCTTGATCTGCAGCCTAATTTCTTAAAACCGTAGTTCTATTAACCTCTTCGTTTCTGATATCAGTTTAATATCAACAAAGAAGGATGACTGATTTCGGTCAATGTCCCCTACGCCCTACCTCCACTTTTCCTCAACTATCATTACATTTTCGACTTCCAAAGTCATCACTCATTTGCAGCAGTTTTTCAATCTTCAATCACTTCTCTTTGTTACACACTAAATTGGTTTCTTGCCGAGTTTCACTGATGGCAGAGCAGACGGCAATGAAGTCATCAAGCTATCAGGCGACCTATGACGACGAATATCAAGATTTTGAAACTTGTGCGATAAACCATTATGGTATTACGACACAAGAATATACCGATCGGCTGCAGGAGGAAAAGTGTCGTTTGGTTTACAATACGATGATAACAGGAAGCGAAATTCTGCAAATAGGACTTAATATGTAGCAAGTGAAATGTGTTGTTGTTCGAGGATGTTGAAAATGAGTGGTGATCAATTACCAATTATGAGACCTTTATACGATTCATCAATTGCTTAGAGGAAATAATGGAGGCAATAAAACAGAGACAGATTGTAGTCGATATAAATCAAATCATATCTCGGAGATTTCAAAACGTTATTTAAAGTTTAAAATGTATCATTTGCGGAATGTCGATTTTGTTGACAGAGTGTACAATAGAAACAGTTTGTATGTGAATAGTCTGGATTTAGACATCGTCGTCTGTAGTGACGACTATAAATCAAATATGATATTGTATGATCTAGTTTGTAGTTTTCCTCACTCCACATTTAAATTTTTCCAGAAACGAATGGATGAGGATGATAATAGAGAATTGTATAGAGCGCCTAATATGTAATAAAAAAATATGCACATTTCGAAATATTAATCGACTTGCTCATTTGCAAAGCTGCTTTAGGTTGATGTATTTAAAGAGTAGCGCATATTGGTTGAGTTTACTATCGTTTGCAGTACGTAAAAGCTTAGTGTAAAGAATAGAAAAAACAAATTTGAAAGTGCACTCTTCGCCTTTTGCTTAGCGGCTTAACGAATTTTTCACTTTGTGCCTTTGCACATGTTTCATCATATCAACCAACACAACCCCAAATGAATACTAAAATTTGATACTATCCTATTCCTGCACCGAGGGATTATAGCATACAGCAGCACTGAATTAAAAAAATCCCAATTTTTATATTCAATTATGATAGTTGCGTAGGTGTATTGTAGTGAAAATACCTCGAACAACACGTGCTCTACATCTTTTACTTTTAGCGCTTTTCTCGAAGCAAAATGTCAAATAAGGCCAGATAAACAGGAACAGTAGTAATGCGTAACGTAACCTTCACCTTACTTTTAATCTTTATTTGCAGAATGTGATTTAAACTGAAGGCAGTTAAAATAAAAGAACAAAGGAGCATTATTTCGCGATCTTTTTTTCTACATCTTTCTCTTTCATATGTAACAAAGTGAAATGAAAAATTATAATAAATAGATCGTTGAAAAAAGCGTCCCCTTAACTCGTATAGTGTAAGTTGGCAATGTAATGTGGAAGGTTTGTAGCATGAGTCACTTTTAAAATCCGTGACAGCAACGCCCTCCTTTCCGATTGTCGCGTCCAGAACTAAAAATTCTCGATGTCCAAATCAGTTTCCCTTTTCCTTCGTAAGGTTGTTTCACTATTCTATTCTTTACACTATGGTAAAAGGTAAAAACATGAAAGAACAAACTACTGTCACTAGTTTAATATTATGCGTAGTAACAAAGAAAAATAAGTTCTTTAATTACAAATTGCTTGACTTACATTACTGTCGTGTGTGATACATTGTTCCGATGATACGCAGTCATTATTTAGGTGTCTGAAAGCATACAGTTTTCGAAAGCGACTAATAGAAATTCAATGTTGTTTGAATTAATTTTCACGATTGTAACCTACGGTGGAACGATAAAAGCACTATACAGTTTAAATAAATGAAACACGAAATAGTTATTATTGGTAGGGCCATTTTAATTGATAACATTTTAAATAAGAGTTTTGTTTAGTGTAATACACGTAAGATATGCTGAAAAATTAGAATTTTAGTCTAATGAGAACTTTCACTACTAATAGATCGTCGGCGAATCCAAAAATTACATATTTCAAATGTGAACATATTATGATTTCGTAAAACAATGAGCACATTTGCGTTTTAAAACATTTATAACAATTGTGTCAATTAATAAAGTTATGACATGCGCGATGAGAAGATTTTATATGCCTTAGCCAGTCTGAAACAATAACACTTACAAATATAGATTGCCTATTAGGTAAAGGCGTTTCCTTATTAGAGCCCATTTCTTTCAATATCACGATTGGAATTGAAAAAAATCAGTAATACAATTAAACGTTAATCAAGGATCAAATAACTAAATTTCTATTGGTCCAATCAATTAAAAACATACCTAAGATAATATGAGCCGATTCTTCGGAGTAAAACAAATAACGTAACTAAAAATTGTAGATATCCGCTTTGCACAAAGTGTCGATAGCTTCAAACAGTAGAATTTTCCCAGCCGGTAATGTAGAAACTCA